GAGAGACACAAGAATTCAGAGAAAATCCTGAAAAAAATCGTAAATTAAAAGATTTTTAAATATTCTTCAAAGTAAAATATTTTCAAGTGGTTTTTTGCTTTCCTCTTTGTATCCATATATGAATTTTTCAATAGTCTCCAACTTTGGATTTTTGCATCTTTTTGGTATAGTCTTTTCAAGTATTCTAAAATCTATATTTTAGAATACTTGAAAATCTTTTGATTTTGAAACGGAAATTCAGTTTTTTTAAGATAAGGTTTTATCCGGCACAGTTAAATACAGGATCTTAATCTCAATCCACAAACAAGCAGCATTACAGATTTGTGGTTGAAATTCAGCAATTCACGTCTCAAACTATGTGTTAGTTTCAACTGATAAGCAAATGAATAATTTGAATTTATGGATGAGATTTAATTTTTTTCTTCTTAATTATTATTAGCTACTAAAGTGTCCATTTCTGCAGAAAATTTTTTTCAGTTATTTTTTGGCAATTTTTTCAAAAATATTTGAGATGTCGTTGTAATTTTGGTTAAAGTGACATCTGCTCACAAAGTGTATTATTCCTCTTTTCGTCGAACTGAAACCAATTTGCACATGTACTTTTCTAAGTCTCTTTTTGTTTTCTCTTCTTCCAAATGTCTATGTAAAAAAAAAGATTGCCTTAAACTAAAATCGCATGTTACATTAAATTCCTTGATACATTTCCGCCAAAATTGGTTTTTCCTAAAATTTTCCCGAAATGTGTTGAAGGACTGATTTTTTGTTTGATAGAATTTTGGTAATGCTTAAAAGACAATATTCACTCTTTGAATATCAATGGACTTTCAGTTTAATATAATCTCATTTGATATGATTTACTGGAAATTGTTATATTCTATATCTCAGCGTCGGAGACAGTTTCGTTTTTTTGCAACATCCTTTCTTTGTTCTTTAAAGAAAAAAATCCGGAAAAAATATGGAAGGTTTGCAAGCATGAGTTTGTAATGCATAGAGTTAGATATTTTAATCACCTTTGATATTGTCTCTCTGACTGATTTGTCACAGAAAGTAAAATATTCATGAAAAAAGAATTGAGTAATTTTCCTCATTTTTGAATTTTTCTCCCCCCATCGAATCATGATTATTTCGCCGAACAAATTTTCTAGTGACAAAGGTTGATTCATTCCATTTTCGTTATTGCTTGAATTCTGTTTCATACTTCCTAGCTGGAGAGAAATGCCATACATAGTGCCTTGCTCTGTTTACAGGAAAACATTTTGACTTAGCAATTTTTAAAATCATTGAGGAGTTTGATAAGAGATTTGAAAAATCACCACCGACTTCGAACTCTTTAGTTTTTCCGAAATTTTGAAATTCTTAAAAAGTTCATTCTGAACTTCACAAATTGCGCTGTCCTATCCTATTTCAGTGTTCACTGAATGTTTACCATATAGGATAAAGAAATATATTGACCGCATTGCATTGTGTTCTTTACCAATCAATATGGACAGATAATGAGATCTGATAAATGTAAGGAATTACTGTGTAAGGAAGTGTAAGAAAAAGAATGTATGGTTTGTATGGTTTATCCTATGTATGGTTTTCCAGGAAGTAAAGAAAATTAAAGATGAAGAAGGACTGCGACGATTTATGTTACATCATGGTGAGCATATTGTTAATCGAGTAGCTGATGAAGTGGATCGTATTGAAGATGTGATCATCAAGAAGCATCCGGATGTGAAGCATGTTGATTTGGAACCGCTGTAAACTACTGTAAAACATTATCAATTTAAGTGAAGAAAATTCTTGAATGATTTCGAACTATCTCAATTAGGAATAAGAACATCTTTTATCAATTTCTTTAAGCTTACATTTGTTGAGAGAAACATGACTTGGATCTTCGTCTATGTATAAAAAATAATCTTTATATTCAGTTTTGGATTCTAAAAAATCACTTACGGTCACAAATCTAAAAATATACAAATTTCGGAATTTTAATTGAGCTGCGGTTTTTTTCTTTTCATGTTTTGTTTTAAAGTTATTGTACATGTTATATGTTTTACACTTTCTAACCTTTGTATTCACTTATCTGTGATACTTCCAGCCCATTTTGACTTATTATATTTTCGCAATTTCCCAATTAGCTATCCATATGTTATGTTCAATAATATCCTCATTTCCACGATGTATCATCCATCTTCGAGATGCATCCGATATGTATAATGCATGTTTTTAAGACCGCATAAATAGCTCTTTTCAAGAAGAAAGAAACAGATCGTTAGTTGAAAAAAAATTTTAAGTGAATTATTATTTAGTCTGAAAACATCAATAATAAATGGATGGCGTATAACAGCGTGATTACGACTGATATAGCGACATCTTTAAGAACATTCAGTGGAAAAAGATGGAATGGGTAATTAGAGAAATAAGCCATCTGCTGCAAGTTTTTTTCGACAAGTTCTCTGGCATAATTATTGCTGGCCCTTAAATAACTTTTTGGATCATCCTTGGTCCATCTAAAATCAAGGACGATATGAAGAGTCAATGGTAAAACGGTAAAGCGGAAAGGGCTGAGATAATCATTTGTCCTAGGAGTGTTCGGGACCAGAAAGTGGTTGTTGGTATAGCAACCGTTTAGTTTGGATCGTCTCTTAAGCTTTCAGATATATTTCTTTTTTTTTAAAAGATATCCTTAAGTTGATAAGTATTCCTCAGTACTTCATAAGATGTAAGAACGTTATTCTAAATTAAATCGTAATTTTTGGAAGTATTTATTCTTGATGAAACTAGAAAGCAATTTCTCAATGCATTCCTAATCACTTCATTCTTGAAAGACAGGAATCTTCAACAGATGGATAACTATTTCAAATGCTAATTCATATCGAAGTTTCGAAGTTCTCTGGGAAATTTTCAGGATGTCTGGAATGCTTCTAAAAAATGGGACTTAGGAATAGAAGAGTGAAGATATATGGAGATTTGTAGAGACTGACAGATGTGTCAAATAAAAGAATCGATCATTTTAATTTTCAATTCTTCAAGTTTAAGAAACGACAACAGCAAAAAGAAATCTTACTAACTCTTCCCTTAGCAATTCATCGCACTGTTATCCAATCAATTTCAAACAATTTTTTCTATAAAAAATCTTAAAAGTTTTATTAATCTCAACTTATGATTCCTGGAGATTCGTTTTTATTTCATTCGAATTCAATATTGCCTCAATTAGGCGCTTTTAGTATGAAGTATTTCTAAAAGTGCGGTGCCGTTATCACATTTAATTCTATTACAATTATTGATTTGAAACGAAAGTTTTAGATTTTACTGATCAGTGAATTAATTATACAAATTAACAAAAAAGAAAGTGATAACTTACTACAAAAGAAAGTGATAGCTTTACTATTAAGAAATATGACGAACAATTTTAGTAATTCTCAGTGCTAAAGAATATGTGAAAATAATTAGAGTGATAAATATCCATGATATCATGTCAGATTTATTAGTAACAATCTCGTTAGCAGATATTCTTTATTTCATATGTAAGCATGAAATCAATTATATCAAATCATCAATAAAATCATTTTATATGATTTTTAAGATTTGTAATAGGCTTTAACAACTTTCAACTGCTACTTTTATTGAACTGACAATACATGATAATGTTGCATAAAAGATATCATTGTACTATTTGTTATTAAGCGATCAGTTCCAAATAAATTCAATCTTTCAGTATCGCTTAAATTGTTGTATTACACTTAACATTTGTCGACAGAGCAGCTGGAAAATAGGCGCAATTGAAAATGACTGAGAGTGCAAATTTTCTCTGTTTACTTTTGAATTTGAATTCTTTAAAATTATAAAAAATAACTGATATTAATTTCTACAGCAATTATTACTATTACTATAAATAATTGCTATTTATAGGTATTATGATTATTTTTAGTATTTGTAATTATATTACATTAATGAAAGGGATTATTATTACTATAAATAATTACTATTTATAGGTATTATTATGATTATTTATAGTATTAGTAATTATATTACATTAATGAAAGGATTACTTATAAAGTGAAGAGTTTTGTTAATTTAGAAAATAATTCTTAAAAATTGCTTTTCAATTTTCCGCCATCAGAAAGCGATTATTATTTCATTCGATTAATTGCTTTACAAATTAGTCGCGAAGAGAAGAAGAAAATTCATATGAATTTTCACAGTCTATCGGTAAATAATTTAAAAGAAAAGGATAAGAAGGAATTGAACTTTTTTGAATGAATAATAAATGTTAAAAATTAATTAACAGAGGAAGCAAATTGTTTTCTCACATTTTTAATTGATTTATTGTTTCATAACTAAACTTCACATCAAATAACAGTTAACAAGGAACTTCTTACCTGTAATTAATTAATCAAATTTATGCCATCACCCTGAGTAAATCGTCCATGATGGAAAATTATAGGCTTATTAGAATTTCAGCAAGGATGATAATCAATTGAAATATTGCTGAAGCATTTGTATTTGAAACATTCGATATCATATCCAGTCTCATCCATAATCACACAGTATATTATTGATAGGAAGAATGAGTGATTATAAGTTTATCAGCAGCTAATTTAAAATATGAAATGCTAATTAGTGAAATCTGGATTCCATTTTTCAATACTTGAACAAGAAAAACAGAGAGTTGAATCAAGTTGCTTCCAAATTTTTATTTTTCCCAGCCGGTAAATTTCCAGCATCTGATTTTAGTCGGTATCGAATCAATTCTATTTCATTCCTATCCGGAGTAGCTAGACGGTTATTTGAATTTTCTTCTGGGATTCATCGTTTAAATCCGATTTAAAAATCAGTAATACATTAGCTAACGATGATATGTCCATTGTCAATAATTTGAGTAGTCGTTGCCGATTCAGTGGCATGATTAATCAAATTCTTATCCATCTTTTGTTGCTTTTGATACTTTTGATATCGATACCGCCAAATGGTAATCTTACGAAAAAGCCATGTCATAAAGGTTTTAAATGCAATTAGAATAAAGAATAAGGCCAGAATCATTGCTGTTCCAATTCCAATCCATGGATCATAGTGACGATAGAAATCATCGGTTGTTCGTGGTGGATTCGAATCCATGAAGTCACGTTTATCCGGTGTTTTACATGTTGGAAAACATGAATGATGTTCTTGCTTCTGTTGCTGCTGATATTGGACTGCTTCTGATGTATACATAATATCGCAGTAAACCTTAAACAAAGTTTTGTGGCCAAAACACTTGTTAAGTATTATTGTTTCTCAAGGGGGAAAAGAGCCACGCCCTTTGTAGTCGATTCAAACAAATTGAAAAGCTGTCAAAAATAAGAAGAAGAGAAGAAGGAGAAATAGAAAAGATGAAGGAATAGATGAAAGAATAAATTCAATAGAAATTGTCTAAGCAAAGAATAAAGCAATTAAGAAGGAGAAGAAGATGAAGTGAAGATGATTGTGTTGAATTTCCTCCCGAAAACTCGCATAATAGAGGCCAAATAACAAGAATTAAATCAAAACAGTGCTAGTGCCACTTACTACTACTACTACTACTACCACCGCCTTCATAATTTCAGACAACGGCTGAAGTTTGATTAATTCGATCAAGCTTTACTTGATTGCTTGCTTGTTTGCTTATTTGTTTTAAATAGGAGATACCTAATTACATATTTACATAGCAATGGCTTATGTTAATGGAAGTGACGATAATAATAATGATAATGATAATAATAATAAAATAATAATAATAAATAATAATAACAATAATAATAATAATAATAATAATAATAATAATGATAATAGTGATAACGACGAATAGCAACTGATAATTAGTCGCATCCTTTTAATGGTATATAAAATAGCGTGATATATTCAAACTCTAAAGTTTTTCATACTTTTCTTAATAACTAATTTGATGCAAGAAGCACATGCATACATTCATATTTCTTTCCTTCTAAATTTTGGAACGAAAAAAAAACAGCAACTGCTGGAAATCCAAAATATATATATATTCTATATATTTCTGCTTTATTCATTTGATATATGATTCCAAGAATACTGCCCAATGACATCTATCAAATGACCAAATGAGATGAGATGACCTCCTATCCACCATCAAATGGTCACATAATTTCTGGATACTATTAATTTCATCTATCAAATGATCATTGTACAATTATTTTCATCTACAAATGATTGACTAATTGTCGTAATTACTACAAAAAGTGCTCGTTAAGTAGTCCAACTTGAAAAACTCTTAATTACAGTATGAATCAGTTCTTATTTATCAGGACAATTATCATATTCAAACAAAATAAAATGATTGAAAATAAACCTTTGCATGAAAATAATTAAACCTTAATGAATATTATTGACTAAAAAGCTGTCAGTTGAAAATCAACGACAACAATTATAATTTCTTTCTAACTTACGACGATTGCATGTAAATTTTGTTGGAAAAAAAATGAAAGAAGTCAATAATACACAAACAATATTTCTTTTCTTTACCATTATTTAATGAAGTTTATCCCATTTGTTCGAGCACTTTTCTTTCTTTCCCTCTCTCTCTCTCTCTCTCTCTCTCTCTCTCTCTCCTTATTTCATTTTTTTTATTTTTATTGAACTAATCAAAAGACTTAATTTGGTATGATTTAAAATATATAGCATATGAGAGAGAGAGAGAGAGAGAGAAGGAGAGAGAGAGAGAGAAAGTTAGCAGTTGTTTGCAATCTCATTTAAACCAATGAAATATATAGCTAATAGCTTCTGATAATTTTTAAGTTATTTTTATTTCTCAAATAGTTTGAACTAAAAAAAAAGAGGAAAAAATCTGAAAAGAAAATTTAGTGTGTGATAAAAAAAAGGAAAGAAAACGAAGAAAAGATAAGATAAGATAAGATAAGATATGTATAATTTATGAAAGAATAAAAATGACAAAAAAGTTTTAAGTTTTGCTAATTGAAATTTATAATTGTCCATTTTGAACAAATGCATCTGTCAAGACTGTAATAGTCTATAACAACTGTTACTAAATATTTCCCTCTAAATAATTTCAATAAATTAATTGAAAGTAAGAATTGCCATTATGCCGCCTTGAGTATCACTCATATCAAGAACTTCATTTAAATTCTTGCAATTGAATAAATTCTCTTTAGCTGTCATAACGATAAACTTCTTCGATCATTCTTGTAGTTGAATGAATTCTCTTTAGATTGCCGCCATTATCAATCTTTATTCATTTTTTGAACTTTTGAAATTGCAAAAGTTTTAAGTGTTGTATGTAAAAAGTTAAGTATAAGTAATTAATTAAATGCTAATTATCCTTTATTATTTTTTTTTTGAAATCTTTAAAATGATCTTTTAATTTCATTATGTATAAAAATGAATATATTCAAATTTTATTCTCATTAGATAATTTATATGCAAGTTTGTAAGGATAAAATAAATATATGCAAATTATATCTAACAAGACAAAATTATTGAATAATGAAACCTTTTAGACTTTCTTACTTTCTCTTTCTCCTTCTCTCTCTCTCTCTCTCTCTCTATTTCTCTTTTATTGACAATTGATAAATATTGATCATACTAGCAATATTTGAAATTTTACATTCTCATAAATCATCTTTCTTAAATTCTCCTTTGTTTTTCAGCATTAAAACAAAAAATTGATTCAATTCTATAAATTTATTTCGATTTCAAAAGATATTTAATTTTGAAATAATTTGATAATATCCTTTTAAGGAATTCAAAAAAGAAAAAAAGAGAAGATGACAGAATTTCTTCGCTTCTCTCAATTACCTTTATTATTTCATATTGCTATTTGTTTTATTTACTTCAATTAATTTCAATTATTTCACACCTTCATTAATTAACTATTCATTTTCTTATGCTTACAAATCTATGCGCTCTTTCATTCACTAATTTTAATGATTGAAATGAAATTGTAAAGCACAAAAACAAAAAGAATGAAAAACAAATTTTTAGTTAAAAATATTGAAAATGATTGATTGATAGTTAAAAGAGAGATGGAAAAGAAGCAAAGAAAAGAAATTAAAAACGAAGAAAGTTTTTAACAAAAAAAATTTCTTAAATATGTTAATTTTTCTTTGATTGATTTTCGATATTAAATTTTCTATTTTTGATATTTAATATTTTCAACATTTCAAATTAAGCATTTTATTATTAAACTTTTCCTATTTTACCTTTCAACAAGAAGTACTAATACTTTCTTATGAAATTAATTAATTAATTTATTAATTTAACCAATTAACTCTTTTACAAAAATTTCAAATTAAGCATTTTAATATTAAACTTTTCCTATTTTACATTTCGGCAAGAAATACTAATACTTTCTTATCAAATTAATTAATTAATTTACTTAACCAATTAACTCTTTTGCGAAAATTAGAATTTGCTTTAATTAGGAAACTATTGCTATTACTTTAAAAGCCTAACAAAATATCCTAAAAGTTTATTATTGATAAAATATTTCAAAAGATTTTATCTTATCATTATCATTCTTAAGAAATCATTCTTAAGAAAAAAATTATATAATCAAAAATTGATTAAATCAAGTTAGATAAGAAAATCACCTAAAAATCTAGAAAATAAAATTAAACTTATTAATTTTTAATTTAATTAGAAATTAACGATGACTAATTGTTTTTCGTTTAAAATTATTTATTACAAAAAGCAGGAAAATAAACGGTAATGCTTTTCTTTCAAGGAATTTTTCAAATGATTTGGTGTAAATTATTTTTCCGAATTATAGGCACAAAAAAACAATGATATTAATTAATAGGAGGAATACACAATGGTATCATAGCTGTCACAACTTATACACAGTATGATTGCTCATTCAAATAAACTATATGAAAATGCTTTTTCATCCTTATTTCTTCTTATCTATGATTATGAATAAATTTCAAAAATTAAAAAGAGATTCTAAAATGAGAGAAGAAGCTTTCGGTGATAACGAAATTATCACATAAGAAATATTCATCATTTAAATATGAACGAATAAATATGTTATCAATCAATTCATTTATTTCATCAAACGCTTTTTAGAATGTCACAAATTTATAATAATTAAATGAATGATTTAATTATCCAAAATACTTCTCATCCATATATTTGCTAGAAGAGTTTTGGATGAAAAATTTGATTAGCATAGAATATATACATCGTTTATACTTTTATGATTTGAATTTATCATTTGTTTACTTAATTTCAAACTTTTTAAACTTTGATCATAAAATGATTTGTTTACGATCGTTTTCATCTTTCATATCAATTTGAACTTTCTAAGGATAACTTCATGTCATTGTTAGTATAATATAATTTTAATTTATAGTGTTAGTATATAATTGTTCGCATAATTTGTTTAAGTTATAACTTCATCTTTTAGGTTTAGATGGTTAATTTATGCTTTTATGCTTGTTTCTGTAAATGTGTATATTTCAGAGAATACCGGATCCGGAATTTATTCTAACAGTTGAGAGAGTATATGGAAGAATTTTTGATTCTTCTAGGTAATTTATGCATAACGAAGGTTTTTTTTTCCTTAAATCATATTTCTTGATAACAATGAAAATGATGTTAAATATTCACAATGTTTAATTGTACTTTCAGAATATTATCATTATCAGATGATTCATATCATATATTGTATCATCATTTCCACAACTTCAACCGGCTATTTCAATTGATAAGATTAAAAATTTAATTGAAAATTTGTTCGCTATCTCTTTCATTTTTTCCATCTAATATCATTGATTAGTTGTTTTACATTCAAAATTCACTTTTAATTAAATTTCAAATTTAAAATTTCATTTTACATTCTTTCAATAATTCATTAACTGTTGCAAATTTTCAATTCTTCTATCCATCCAATTAATCTTATCATTTACAAAGTAAATTTCATTGTATACGGAAAGAAAAGAATTCGATTAAATTTTTATTTAGCAAAAAGAAAGTAAAAAGAAGAGAAAAGATCGATTGAAAAAGTTTTGTCAAAATTAAACAACAGGCTGTCAAGAAAAAAATTGCTATCCCTTAAGAAAGGCTTTTTGAATGAATGTATGTAAAGTGCAACAACTTTTAAAGGATTAAAAGAAAAATCTAGCGGATAACATAAAAGATAAACGGTAATGACGAAATGTTTCAACAATGAAAAAACATTTAAAATCTAATGTTTATCTTTTTTT